CATGCTGCATGCAGGCTCTGCCTGTGGGAATTAAGGGAGACAATGCAACAGATAGTGAACAATGAGCGTCTGTAATGTGCAGCTACAAAGCCAAAGTAACCCAGTGTGCTGCAGAACACAGAGACAGGCTGTGAAAACAGCAGCCTCACGAGGTAGAAATCCTGCCAAGCCTGCTTAGAGGACAATCAACAAACCCTCCTCAGCTGGAAGATGGTTAAATGTGGTGGAAAAGGGACTAAAAGAGGGTGGGACAGAGGAGGGAAAAGAGGCAACCCCCAGGGACTCTTGGCAGGAAAAAGAAAAAGTAGTCATCTTCCTTTTAGTCTCTTCTTGTGAACTGAGATGTCAACACAACACTTTGCATGCTGCAACAGAAGCAAATGAGGCTGTTGAATGAAATGAAACTACTTTTCCAAAACCAACCAAACAAAACCCCAAAAAAACACAAACCAGAACAAAAATGTAACCCAGATATTCTGCTTTCCATTCACCTGGAAAGCAGAGGCTTGCTGTGATGTCTCCTGTCACTGCTCCTTTACCTTTCCACTTCAGCACAGGGTGCTGGCTGGGAAGATGCCCTAAAGAATGGGAAATAGATGCCTGGAGCACTCATACTCCACTTCCAGTTCTTTTTGGAGCAACCCTCCCAACACTCCTTGTGTCAACTGCACTGTGAGTGGGGAGCTAAGGACATGGTCACAGCCTGTGCATGAGAAGCCACTGGGAGTGGGGAAGCAGAAAAATCAGTTCCTTGCCTTTTTGATGGATAATCACGAACTGAAAATGGTAGCAACCAGGGTAGTACAGGAAGAGCAGCTATGGAGGAGCTGCTGGGAGAGCAGGCTGGCCAGAGAGCTCGCTGTGCTCAGCCGTGCTCAGCTGTGCTGATCCGTGCTCAGCCGTGCTGATCCGTGCTCAGCCTGCACTCTGTGCGGCTCAAGGGCCAAGCAGAGGAGTCGGTGTGAGAGGCCCAGCTGTGCTGGTCTGTGCCTCTGGAAAACGCTCCTTTTGCAGGACAGGGCTGGGAAAAGCAGTTCCCAGCAGCTCCTGCAGCACGAGGAAGCAGCACCCTCTGCTGCTGGCAGACCTGTCTCCAGAGCACCTCTTTACTGACACACACCTAAAGAGCTTCCAGAGAGGAAAATCATCCGCAGCGATGTCCCCCTGTGAGTCACGCACTGCAGCGTGGGGGTGGCTGCTTTGTCAGACAGTTTGGTCGTGCCAGACACAGCTGTTGGGAGAGGAGGTGCCAGGCAGGCCCTGCTTCCAGCTGATAACAGCAGTAAGAGCAGGAAAGATTTCGACTGCTGCTGTTCCCAGCAAGTGCTTTGGCTGGTATTGTTTGATGAACATGACTCGATACACACCGCAGGGGTGATGTAGGATAAAGCTCTCCAGCAGCCTTCCTCCAGCCTCTTCCAAACCTTTCGCATCCCCACGAGGTAGCGGATTTACTGTTGCTGCGTGTGAGAGGAGAGGGGAACCCAGGCAAGAAGGTGACTCACCCGCAGTGAGTCAGTGGCAGAGTCCTGCCCCTTCGGCTTTGCTCTAAGCACGATCCAGCAATTCCCATGGTGCTGGGAACATCAGGAAGGTGTCCTGACTCCTCCCACCCCTAAGCAATCCTACCCCAGGGCACACAGAGAGGTGCTGTGCCACTACCAACCTGCCTCCCTGGAAAGCTATGGGATGCTGCAGGATCCAGACAGTCAGCTGAATCCCAGTCACCCTTGGCTTTTTCCCCTCCCCTTTGCTGTAGACCTTTTGTTTTTCCCAAATTAAGCTGTTTAACATCAACCAGGTCTATCCCACAAGCACATTCCCAAATGGGATATGCACACCTCAGACAGACAGAGAGTATTTGGTCTCTCCCTCCCATTTCCTCCCTCTCCCTGAATGCAAGCTGCCTTTCTCCCCGACACCTGACCCCAGGTTTCCCCTCTTCATGTGGGGAAATAGCCAAAACTTGGTCCTGGCTGCAGCTCCTGACTTGGATGAGGCAGAGATTTGACCTCCCGTTCCATTCCCCCCCTCCCATCTCACAGCCTGTCTGTCTTCCTCTCTCCAAGCACATAGAACACTGTTCCAACTCCCCTTCTTACCCACCTAAAAAAAAAGCAAAGCCCGAAAAAAGAAATGCTGGGATCCTGTTAAAAATATCCTGGGATCTGCAGAAAGGATCCTGCCCAACCAGTCTGTGTGCATGCACAGGTCTCTTTCCAGCGACATCGGTCACACAGAACCCGGATTGTTCTGGGGATAAGGAGATGCCTAAGGAAAGGGAGCCCTGTACGAGGAAAAAATGAGGCGATGTCTGCTCGGAGCGCCACCAGGACATAGTTTCTGCGGGAAATTCCTCTCCACGGAGCGATCGGCCGGAGGGAAGGGGAGCCAGCACGTCCCGCCGCAGGGAGCAGCCCGAGGGCACCGGCCTGGCACGGACTGCAGTGGTGCTTGCAGGGGAACCCGGTGCTGCATTGCTACACGACCTCATGCCAGCTCTCTGCAGGGGGAGCAGCTGGAATGAGCCGGATCCATCCACACAACCCACAGGCATCTCACAAGGCAGCCTGGCTCAGGATCTCCCAGGCTCCTGAAACGGGCTCTTCTTCGCTCTCTCCCCTCCCTCTCCTTTCCTGCCCGTTTTTAGGACACGGCCACAGTTTCATCACCTTGTCTCGGGAGAGGAAGGCAAGAAACCACATCCCTGCTGAGGCAGGCAATGAATCCGGAGCACAGATCCTACTAAGGATTGCCCTGAGCTGTGGCCAACGGAGAAGTCGAGCCCAGCACCAAAAGATTTGTTTTTAGAAAAGCATTAAGAGACTGAAAATTTTGCTGCTTTTCTCACCACCGCCTCTGCTCCCTGTGTTTGGGGAGGATTCACTGACCCTGTTCTAGCTGGAGTATCTCTCTTCAGTGATGTGCAAAGTAAACTGGAACAAAACTCTCTCTAAACCAGAATTAAAACACTTCTGATGTTAATAGGAAAAATCTAGAGAGGAAAATACTGCCCCAGCCCTACGTTAAATGTTGCATTTAACTGTTAAACATCCTCACTTGCAGAGCCATCTTCAAATGAATAGGTATCTCAGAGAATTCAGCATTACCAACAGCATCAGCAAGTACCATAAACATGTCATAGTGATGTCCCTGGACGCCCAAGGGAGCACTGGAGAGGACTGGGACACGGAAAAGATCCACATCTGTGGTACTAGAACAATGCCCTGCTGGAATCCCCCCAAAACCCCCAAGTGTGTGAGTGACAGTGCCCTTCCAGCTGCGTGCAGGGGAAAGGAGCAGTTGTGAATCAGCAAGACTGCAGCAGGAAGCCATCTGATTTAAATCCTCCCATCCTCCTCTTGCCAGGAAAGCGAAGCCTTCCCCCGGGGCACTGGGATGAATTTGCTGTGCTCCTCCTCCTCTCCCCTTTCCCAGGCACACAGTGCCCGTTCCTCCTGCAGAACAGGAGGTGTCAGGTGAGATTTTTCCTCGCAGCGAGGAGGTGGCTGGGTCTGGACAGGAGCATTTGGGCATCAGCTGCGCTGGAGGCCAGGACTCTGCTCCGGGACTGTCCACAGTGCCCTCCCAGCCAGAGCCAGGGCACAGCTTGTGCTTGAACTCGAGCTGATCTTCCCAGAGCTGAGTTCTGTAAACTCTGTGTCGTTCAGCAGCTCCGTCCCGTGGTGACGGTATCCATGGAAATGCAACACTGGGAACCAATGTGCAGCAGGGGGGGGCTTTCCCCAGGCCTGGCCATTTCAGGACCCTGCCCAGCATCGGGTGATCCCATCTTCTCACCTTAAAAGGGCTTTGGCTGTTCCTCTGTTTCGCAAAGTCCTGGCCTTGTTCGGGTGAGACATCAAAAAAAACCCAGAGTCAGAGTGAAGCTTCAATACCAGCTGCACTGTTCACTTTGTACAGCTAAAACCCGAAACCTTCACTCACCAAGAGGACAGGAAAAAACCCAGAGTGATCTTTGGAAGAAATTAAAAGACACTTCTCGTTAAAAACTATTTATTTTTTTACAAATATAATTCTCTTTTATTCATTAAACAACAAGAAAGGAATCACAAAACTTTGCTCATTGGGGAATAAGAAAAGATTTTACAACTTGATTTATAAAAAAAGTTTAAGTTAAAAATTAATTATTTCCAGTGTTAGTTTTCTGTAAAACATATAAACAATCATACCATTGAATTCTAGGAATGCGCTTGACATGTAAAAAATTAATAAAATTGGTATCAATAATCACGTAGAGGAGAAACAGACTGTGAGAAATTACCCCATGGAGCTGCTTTTGCAAAGAAAGGTTAATACAGGCTCTCAAGAAGGTGCACACCTCCTATTAATAGCTTTCACAAAATAAAAATAGCACTGCTTCCTTGGCCTAGAGCCCAGTGGATTTCTACCATTCCTCCTCATCAGATTTGTTGCTCATTTAACCCTTCTCCCCATCCACAGTCTCTCTCTTTCCAGTCCTAAGTTTTGTATATTCAAAAATATTTTTTTTTTCATTTGGAAAATGCTAATTATGAAAGAGTTTAAAAGGAATTATCTGTGTAAAAAGAAAATGCAGTTCTAACCCCACCACCCAACCAAACCAAACAGCTATGTTCACTGAGGGGAACATGTGGAAGCTTTCAGTGGATTTTAATAAAATCTGGGATTAATTTCGGGATGACCCGCTAGATAGAGACTTCACAAATAAACCCCATTTTCAGCTGGAAAGAAGAGAGGCTCCCTGGGAAAAAAAAACAACATGTGCTTACTTAGAAGTGCAAATAAACCTCTCAGCATTTATTTCAAAAGGTGCCAGCCAGATATTAAAAATAAGTGTGCAAAAATAGGAAAGCACCAATGCCATAGTCACCTGCAACACAGCCATAAATTCTGTCATTCATAACAATATAGTTACTCTCATATAGGTCAATTTTTCATTAAAACTTGTTCCCTTATACCAACATAAAAGACCTGGAATGAAGATAATGGATCTTTTTGTTTAAAAATTAAAAAAAATTATGTTGGAACTCGTGGATGTACCAGACCCAAACCCTGTTCCTCTGCACAGCTGTTCCAGCCACTGTGGCATATTTTGGAACCACTGTTTGCTACCAGTCCTCTACAAAGAGGGTTATTCCAATGAACTCCTGGACATAAGCTCTTATTCCAGACTCCACTGGAAAAGCAAGTCCTGCAGAGCTCACCTTCCTCCTGCTCCCTGTTCTCCTCTGCTCCCCTGGGGTTTATTTTCACCCTCTGGTGTTTGTGCTGGTGGTTAATCCTGCCTGTAACCAGGACACAGGCAGAGACACCCACAAAAGAGGGATAACCAGCCATCCCAGCTGTCAAACCAGTTAAGGCACTAATCCAAAGGTAAATAACCCGCTGGAAAAGATCAGGGAGCACTTGGGGATACCATGGAAGCACAGGACACCCCTTGTGCGTGGCAGCATTCTGGGAAGGGGAAAATTGGAAGGTCAGGAAGGGCAGAGTGGCGTCTCTGGGTAGGACTGGATGTCTCCAACCCTCCCTGCGAGCAGAACTCCACATTTCTGCAGCCACCCCATGCTGTGCTGTCAGAGGTGCACTCTGCTGGTTCCGTGTGCCGCGGGGATGTGTACAGAGAAAATTCCCTCCCTTATAAGTCACCATCCACGAGTTCAAACACCAGCAGCGCCACCACCATCTGCAAACAGTGGATCTACCTCAGTGTGTGCTGTAATGATGGATATGTGGGGAGTTTGTAAAGCTGCCTCCCACAGAAATTTTATGAGCCACCGAATGACGCTTCAAGCTTCGAGTCTGGGGACAGAGAAAAGTTCATTTCAGAGAACGAGGCAAAGACAGCTAAAGAAAACATTTTCTTGCTAGTTAAGTCCAGCAATTCCTCTGAACACCAAGCTTTTTCCTCAATAATTATTGCACTGCTGGCAAACAACAGCTCTGTGAGCTGCCATATTCCTCACCCTGTCCCCATTATTTTAACAGCCTGAAAAGCAGTTTGTCTTCCTTCCCCATCCCCCGTGTATCAGCCATCCACTTAATGAAAGCAGCAAATTACTGCTTCTCAACTCAGCCTCTGCTGCTGGGCAGGTTGCAAAGGCTCAGGACCGCAGTGAGCTCACAAATCAGTGTCAGAATTTGGGGGCCACAGAGCACAAAAGCCAATTGTGCTCCCAGGAGAGCACAGTCAGAGCCTGGCTGACACCAGGATGGGCTGCACAGATCCACGTGCACACAACCCTCATTTCACTGAGACAAGGACTCTGGCCCAGCCAGACTGAGCAGGGCACAGGATGAACACGTTATTATTGTCTCTTAGCCTGAGAATTCCATGAAATTTTTTTAAAAATTGGCAGATAGTTAATTTAACAAGTCTCCCGTGGTGCCTGCGAGGTAGTTAAACGCCAATAAGCAAAAAGGCCTGATAGAAAAACTGAGGCACTTCAGGGTGAGGTAATTTGTCCAAAGTCACAGTCAGAATCCCTGGCAGAGCCAAAAATGCTGCACTGGCTCCTGCTGAGCTCTGAACAGGGAGCCCAGCTCCCTTCAGGCTCAAATGTCAGAGGCGCTGCAGGCCACGGATTTCCCAGAAGCTCTGAGGAGCCTGTGAGAGATGAAGCCGCCGCTGGCAACAGAAAAACACGGACATTGTGTAGGAAAATCCAGGCTGTAAAGGCCACGCAGACAAGGGAGGAGGGACACCGTGAAGGCATCACCCAAGCAGAGCGTCATAATCCACGTACCAGACCAGCTGGCCAGAGCTGGGGCTGACGCCCGAGATCGGCCACTTCCTCGGCTCGTGGCCCACCCTGCTCAGCAGGGTGGTGATGTTGTGCTTCCCCTTCCCCAGAACCAGGACAAACACCTGCCTGGCCTTGTTGATGAGGGGCAGGCTAAGGCTCATCCTCTGGTGAGGTTTGACAGGGCTCTCGGTCAGCACCACAGTGGCAGCCCCTTCCAGGCCGCTCTCCGAGCGGGGGAAGAGCGAGGCCGTGTGGCCGTCGGTGCCCACCCCCAGCAGCACCAGGTCGAAGCTGGCGTTGGCCACCAGGGCCACGATGTCCTTGGCGTACAGCTCCGTGCCCCTGTCCTCCTCCACGCAGAGCCGCCGGTTCAGGTGCACGGGCATGGGGTGGATGTTGAAGTAGGGCACCCTGACGCTCTGCAGGAGGTGGCTGTGCAGGCCGAAGAAGTTGGACTCGCTGTCGGTGAGGGGCACGCAGCGCTCATCCACCAGCCAGATGTGGGTGTGCTTCCAGGGGAAGGCGAAGTGGTGCCTCGCCAGCCGCCGGAACAGGACCACTGGGCTCGAGCCCCCCGAGAGGGCCAGGTGGAACTGGCCAGAGCGTGCCACGCTCCTGACCGCTGCCTCCTCCATGTCGGACGCCAGCCGGGAAATCAGGTCCTCGGACCACGCCGAGACCAGGGGACTCTGCCGGTACTTGGACTGCATTGCCTTGTAATCACTCGGCATCTGCCTGGGGGGGTTCAGCAGCTCCTCTGGCTCTGCCAGGGCGAACGCCAGTCCCCCACTCACCATCTCAAAGTCGAGGAGGTGCTGGTTCTCCACGCCCCCGGGGTAGAGGCGCAGGGGCTGGCGGGAGATGCTGTCCAGCAGGGGTGTCCAGAAGCCCCAGGAGGCCAGCAGGTTCTCCGTGGTGATGAAGAAATCCTTCCTGCCGTGGTAGATGTTGGAGATGAGGACGGAATACGCATCTCTCTCCTTCACGGGGCTGTAGACGTAGTAATCAGACAGCGGTTGTCCAAAAACGTGCAGGTCTGACTGAGCCACGGCTTCTTTCCAACTGTCTTTGGGCATGATGGGCCGGAAAAGGTTCCTGCTCACAAGCACCGCAGGGGTGTTGAGGGCCCCGTGCCCAAAGTAGAAGATGATCTGCTTGGCTTTGCACTGGCTGTGCCCTGCATCCCTCAGAGTCTCACTCTGAGTGCAGTAGGCCCTGTTCTTGAAGAGAACACGGGCATAACCTACCCGTTCATCCAGAGCCTTCCCAGAGGTGAGGAGGAACGGGACCCCTTCCCACCGCAGGCTGTCACTGTGGATCAGCACACCTGAAATGACAGGGAGCTCAGCTACCAATCAAACCTGAACAGCAAACAGTTTTGGGGGGATCTCTATCACCTACCCGTTATTCTCCTTCCTCACGTCCCAGAAATTTTGGCAGCCACCGTGTCTCTTGCTCCACATTCAACCCTTTCCTGACTTCATTGCCTAACTGCTCTCCAGTTACCATGCTGTGCTTCCTCCCAGGTATCCCACTTGTTTAGCCTCCTTTAATCTTGTAGGAAACCAGTTTTCTGAACATGAACATCATTCAGACAGTATCTTTAATGTTCAGAAGACACAGCATGGGTAGAGGTGGCCTCACGGTTCACTCATCACAGAAGACTGCAGAGCTTTACCCCTCAGCTGCAGAGAGCAATGTGACTGCATGAAAAGGCAAAGGAGTTTGCAGGCCACTCTTAAAAATAATGCAGAAATCTTAGAATAATTGGACTTAGCTCTTATGCTTCCCATTCACAGTTAACTGACACAACAACAGTATTGTCTTGTTCCAGCTCCCAGTCATGCTGGTGGATGCCAGGAGACATCCCTGTGCCAGCAGTGAGGTCCGGAGTCATGGAGCTGGTATCACCACACAAGGACTTATCTCCTGCTCTCCTCAGCTCCAGGCTACTCCCCTCTCCAGGGCCCAGCCCAAACTCTCACCTGCAAAGGTTGGTGTTGTGCTGACGTAGTCCTGCGCCTGCTGCAGCTCCTCCTGGACCTGGCTGGCATACGTCTGGTACTGGCCCAGCACGGCACTGTTCTTCTCCAGGCCCCACAGGGACTGGAAGCTCTGCAGCTTGTGCTGCAAAACCTCTTCTGCCCTGCTCACGTTGGCTGGGAGCTCCATGATCAGGAACATCAGGGCCTCTGTGAGGTGGTTCTGCAGCACGTCCCGGATGACCCCGTACTGCTCGTAGAAGCTGGTGCGGCCTGAGGACAAGGAGGAGGGAAGATGCTTTTAAACTGATGTGGGTTTCTTGCAGCTTTGTCCTCTGCTCGTGCAGTGTGTGTGCCAAGAGCAAAGAGAACAAGCCCTGGCTGGTTTGCACCTCTTCTCCCAGCCCAGCAATTAACTTGAAGCCGTCAAGCTCAGAGAAGTTGTGGATGTTGCTTTGAGCAACCTGTTCTAGTAAAAGATGTCCCTGCTTGTGGCAAGGGGGTTGGACTAGACAGTCTTCAGAGGTTCCTTTCAACCCAAATCATTCTATGATTCTACACTAAATAAAGATAAAAGGTTCCCAAGGGACTGCTTGTCCTCCCCAGAGCCAAACACATCAAACACACTTCTCTTTTTGGGTGCTTACAGAGCCTGAACCCAGGAGAAGTCACGCTCTGCCTGACAGTCCCAGGTGCACAGAGCAGAAGGCAGCCCTGCAGCCACAGCTCTGGGGCTGACACTCCACACAACAGGCAGTTCCACACAGAAGCTTTGCCAGAGTGGCTGCAAAGTGGGGTGAGAGCAGGGACCCCAGCAGCTCTAAGGCTACACACCAGCTCCCCAGAGCAGCTGCAGCTGCGCCCTGGCAGCGAGCACTGCTCTCCACTGCCCCTTTTCCCCTTGTTTTCCTGTCCTCAGAAGGCTCTGGCTGAGCCATGCCCTTGGGAGACAAAATTTCATGCACAAAGCCCTGCTTCCCATTTCCCTGCCTGGCTCCTCCTGCAGGTGGGAGCAGGGGGAGAAGGACACTGCACTTATGAAGAGACTCAAGCAGATGCCTTTGTGTAAGCAAGCCAGCAGCAGCAGGCTGCAGACTGCATCACCCACAGGCTTCCCCTATTGATTGATACATTTATCTCCTCTGCTCTAATCCAAAGGCACATTCATTAGTGGAATCAATGCTGCAGGCTTGCTGGCAGCCAGGCTGCCAGCTGAAGCTGAACAGGGGAAAAAAAGACGTCAAATGAAAAATTACAAAGTTGTTCAGAGCAGGGAGGGCACCGGGTGTAGCTGGGGCAGTGCAGAGACAACACTTGCCCCTTTATTTCCCTGCAGTGCGTCCCTCTCCCAGGAGCAGGCCTGGCTGAGGGCTGGGCTGCCAAACCAGAGATGGCTCCAGGTTTGATAGAACTGTTTGAACTGGTTTGTGGTGGCTGAGAGAACGAGGAGGGAGGGAGGCAGGGAGGGAGCAGGTAAAGGGAGTGAAGAAGCAGCCCTGATGTTGCAGAACTGAGGGCACCTGACATGCCCAAAGTGCTGCGGGTGGCAGTCCAGCCCGGGGAGCTTTGTGCTGAGCACTGCAGAGCGGCTGCTGCAGCACTGCAGGGAGGGAATGCAGCCGTGTCCTTCAGCAGGAGACCCATGCTAGCAGCTCTGGCCTTGGATTCTTTGTCCCTCTGCAATGCTCTTTCTTACTACAGAGAGGAAGGGAAAGAAACAGGCAGATAAAACACAGAGTGACCCGGGCACCTGGACTGACACTCGTCCGAGAAGAGCAACATCCAGGCAAGAGATGCCAGAGCACCTTCCAAGGAACAGCACAAAGGTACACTCAGGGTGAGCCTGGTAGCTCACAGGACAGGAATACAAAAGGGTTATTGTTGTTACAACAACCAGAGTATTGCTGCACTGAGCTGAAGTGGCCTTAGATTGCATCAATTCCAAATCTAGTGCCTTTTACCAAGAATCAGGATGGGAAGCTGGGTGCAATGTCCCCAGAGCTCTGCAGCACAAAAAGGTGGGGGATTCTGCCCCTGCTCCCACACGAACTGCAATTGGAGTCTTTTCTTGGAAGCAGCAACACTACCTGGAAGTGAGTCAGCCTCTAGCACAGGAAGTGTAGGACAGTCCCTCTCTGTTTCCAGAGAGCAACATACCGTGTGTTTTTTATCTCTGTACCAGCATTACTTCAAGGGCCACTTTCATATAATTAATGAACCTGCCAGTTCTCCCTCTCATTCATTCACCCTGCACACTCTGCACACTCTCCTCACCAACCTTTAGCATCCACAGTCTCCTTCAGGACAATCTCCACTCTTTCCACGTGATGCCGGTTCCAAATCGGATCCAGAAACTGTCGGTTCTGATCTCGAAAAGGCAGGATATGGGCTACAGCCTGCGAAGGGAAAAAGGCAAAGATCCCATAAAAACTCACCAGGCTCCCACAAGATCTCTGGCACAACATCTCTGCCCCATCCAGCACTGGGATGTGCCAGCAGACAGGCAGCACAACAGAGAGCAGAGTGGGTCAGAGAAGAGAAAATCATCAAGAGAGCCTGCAGGGATGCTCAGTGGGGCTGCCAGTGACTGTCCAGAGCAGACATTCTGAGGCATTTTGAGGTTTCTTGTGAAAAAAGGCTGAACTACAAACTGCAAGGCACTCAGTTTACATCTGTCAAGGGACAAAGGGCTGAGTCAGACCATCCTGGGACTAACGTGCACTTCCAAAGTGCTGAAATACATCAGTTCAGATGCTTACACCACTGAAGCCATCTGCTCTTTTTGGGACACAAAAAAAACCCACAACCAACCAAAAAAAAAAAAAAAATCCAAAAAACCAAAACCTCCCTCTTAGTGGAGATGCTCTCCTTGCAGCTGGACATGCAGGAAAAACTGCCCACAGTGCCACAGCTGGAACAGGCTCCTCTCAAAATGTGACATCACAGTCCTGTGAAACAAGGATGGCATGTCCTTGGACACATTCCCTCTGGGACAGCGCAGCTCCACATCCTGAGCTGTCCCTGCAGCAGACCGGAGTGGAGCACAGGGCAGGAGGAAACCTTCTCCTAAGCATCCCATAAAACCGACATCCATCAGCTCCTTATCATATCAAATCAAAAACTGCTTCCAGAAGGCAGGGCTAAGCAGAGAGGCCTGTGAGTAATGAGATGGGAGAAGTGTGAGAGGCTACTCAGCGAAATCAAAGCCCTGACCTTGGGGAGAAGACCAGATAAACTCTGCACCTCTACTTCAGGCCCACACAGAGTTCAACCCAACACCCTGGCCTCCCTCTGGAGAAGGAACCCTCATCACTCCAGCAGGAGAAAGCCCTGCTTTGGTCATCTCCTCTGCTCTCTAAGAGGAGGGACAGCAGCACAGGACAGGAGAGGAGCAGTACAGGATCCCAGGAGGCTTTGGATCACACTGAGAGGCTCTGCCTAACTTTGAGAGGGGAACAACACCCTCATTAGGTGCAGAACTGACACCCAGCATTCTCCCAGCCAGGCAGGGGGCTGTGCCCTGCCAGCTGCTCACCTGTTTGCCGAGGTAGTGGTCCACCCGGTACATCTCCTCCTCCCTGAAGAAGCCCGCCAGCTCTGCAGCCAACTGCTGGGCCGACTGCAGGTCGTGGCCAAAGGGTTTCTCCAGCACCACCCTCAGCCAGGCCCCCGGGGGGGGCCTGCAGCTGCTGTTGATGTGGCGGGCGATCTCCGTGTAGGCAAACGGTGGCACCGAGAAGTAGAAGATCCTCCCGGCCTCCTTCAGCCCCTCCTGGCGCAGCAGGGCCTCGATCCCCCTGCTCAGGGCAGTGTAGTTTTCGGCAGTGCTCAGCTGGTGGTACTGGCTCAGCTTCAGGAACTGGTCCTTGAGCACGGCACACCTGTTGGGAGCCTCGTCCGGGGGGCAGGACAGCTTCTTCAGCACGTCAAACATCAGCCTCTGCCCCGGCTCCAGGGCCGTCAGCGCGGCCCCATGGAACGTGAAGCTGTGGCCGCTGCTCACCTGGTCCATGTAGAGCTGGAACAGACCCTGCCACAAATACTTCTTGGCCAAATCACCCGTGGCTCCCAGCAGGACCACGGAGATGTGGCCCTGGGATGCCTCAGCCAGGGATTGCAAGGCTCCCACCAGCAACACTGTCCACAGGACCCTTCCCAGCATCTTGGGAGAGAAGGGGCAGACCCAGGAACACTAGGAGACAAGGACAGAAAAGAAAATGTGCCAATCCATGTTATAATGCTGCAAAACACAAAGCAAGGTACCTGCACCCTCCACCCACCAGTCTCTCCTCCCCTCCACGATTTGGGTTCTGGAAGGGCCTGCAGCCTCTTTATGCACAGCAAGAAGTGGAAGGCATTGTGTGGCCGAGGCCTTTGGGCAGCATGTGCATTGTTCCCACAGCTGAGTTAATGCAGGGCTGTCAGTGCCTTTAGACTGTGAAACTGGAGCCCATTTTGACACAAATTTCAGAGCTGGCTACAAAGGAACACACGTGCCTGCACATTAGGTCCTGCTTTCGAGAGCCTCCTGTTTGGGACTTTGCTCCAATAGTGCTGTGCTGCCTTGGCATGGCTTCATGTCAATATTGTGAGAGCAGCCCAGAGGCAAACACGACCACTGGCAGTCCCAGTGCACAGGCTCCTCTTCAGGGCACTGTTTAATGACTCCTGTGCACCAGCACTCTGGTGAACAGAGCTGAACTGGGTTCTGAGGAGCTGCTGAGGTGATAAAACAACACAGGGGAAGAAGTTTAGTCCTTAAATTGAGTTTAGACATGAGCCAGTCCAGATGGTGCCTCGTGACAGGCAGTGTATGTGGCCAGGGGAGAACGTGGGGTTTGTGTTCTGCCTCCTTCAGCCTCCCCTCACTGAAGAGCAGGTCAGCACCTTCTCCACTCAGGGCCCATCCAAACCCCTGCAGACAGGCACAGCTGGAATCCTGGACCAAAAAGCCCCTTTGCTCACTCTTACTTATTCAAAATAAAGCTGCTTTTAAGAGAAAAGAAACATTGGAAGCACAGATGTCTGAGCTCTTCACTGGTTTTCCCTGTGGAAAGCTCCCAGAAAATCCCCTATTTCATCACTACATCAACACAGGATCTAAAGCAGCTAAAGGATCTAAATTAGCTAAAGGATTAGCTAAAGGATAACTAAATAATAACAAGGAACATCTGAACACCTCTCCCTGTCTGCAGCTTGAACTGGTCTGTATAACTCTTGTGTTTCTCTGCCCAGCAGACTCACCTGTAACACAGGAGCTTTGGAGACCACAGTGGCAAAGGGAAACTGGAAATGTGTCTTCTCCCAGTGCAGATCTCCCTCCTGCAGGGACTGCTGTGGGGCAGAGTCTCTGATCAGTGGCTGGGCGAGCAGGAGAGATAAGGCACCTTGCTCCCTTTCTGGTAAATGGGAGGGAAGACCCGATTACAACAGAGAAAAAAGTGAATTGTGCCCGAGCCAGCAGCGTCCCAGCACATCCCAGCTCTCAGCCCACCCACAATGGCTGGGCCAAACCTTCTGCATGCTGTTTGTGAGCTGGCAAAACACGGGCACACGTGGCAATTCCTGCTCCCACGGTGTCTTCCTGACCCCTCAGCTTTGCACCTGAGCTCAGCTGGGTGCTGAAGGTCCTCAACTGACCCCAGTGAGCCTCCCTGGGAACAATCCCCCAGTCCAGCTCTCAGAAGGCACAGTCCCAACACCACAACCTTGTGGCAGTGGGAAGGGGGCACCTCAGTGAGCCCTCCTAGGACAGCAGGACAGCTCTTGAGCAGTGCTGTGCGTTTCCCTCTCAAAGATCAGTTTGCACAGAAATTCCTTTGGATTTCCCTTCCCTGTTTCCTGCATGGAGACAGGGCAGCTGAGCATCACTTCAGCTGACAGCTACAGCCCACCCTGCTCTGCCTCCTCTCCCTCCCTCCCTTCTCCCTGTGCTCCTTAAGCCCCTTGTACTCACTTGAGGAATCCAGCAAACACCGCTGGCAGCTGCAGAGGGGCAGAAATGTGGCTCCTAAGTTTTTGCCTGCAGCATAAATAACTGCTTGGTTTTCCTTCCCCTGCTGTGGGGTTCCAGTTCAGATGGGCAACGTTTCTCAGGGCACTGGGGCAATATTTGCACTTGTTTGAGCAACCTTTGTTCCAGGAACCAGGGACACGTGACACGCTGCCCACTGCACCTTGGCAGGCTGAGATGCTGCACGAGACCTCAGCAGGTCCCACCGTGGAGTGGGAGAGGTTTGGGTGGGTCAGGCTTTTCCAGAAGGAAGGAGTGAATTAGCCAAGTAACTTCCTGGCAGATTCAGTCACATGCCCTTCCAAGCCAACTGAAAGCCAGTTTCACAACACCCCCAATTGCAAAATATTGAGCTACACTGCCCAGAAAAAGCACAGCAAACCCAGCAATGTTTGCTTGCTGCTTTCATATCAGCTAATCACCACTGTTCCCGTTAAAAAATAGTACTCAAAAAATCCCCCCCCCCCCGCCGGCCAGAACAAAGTTGCTCAGTCAGGCCTCAGGAAAAGACTCCTGGGCCTTATCCACATAAAACATGTAGGAGTTTAATCCAGCAGTGAGACTGTGCATTCCCTCCAGTTTGACAGGAGCTCAGTTCAGATCTTACACAGAAAAAAAAAAAAACAAAACAAAACATTAAAAGATGCTTTGTTACTGTTGCATCCCCACTGAAAAATAATTAAGAGATGCACAGCCAAAAGAGCTGGACTTTGATGATGCTTTTGGGTCCCTTCTGACTCAGGGAAGTTGGTTCTATGATAAATCCAGGGTGTTTGGGCTGCTACAAGGCCATGCATAGGTAACACATGAAGGAAAGAGTGATGGGGATACTTTGATAATCAGGAAAACCATACTGGCCTTCTGTGTATCCCAACATTAGAGCAGGAATGGCCTCACCATCAGCTCCTGGGAAGGTCAGAGGCTTAACGTGGAGACTCACATTAAAAGCAATCTGGGAGATGCACGAATTAGCGTTTGGCTCTTCTGGTTCTGGCACAGCCCCACTCCAGATGCCCCACTCCAGGTCCCAGCTCAGCGTCCGGAGCGCTGGAAAAGCAGGACAGGGTTAGGGTGACAAAAATGCCCCGGGACCCCAGGGATGAGCTCACCTGTGACAGGTGCGTGTCACACCCCCCCGCACCTCCCGCCAGAGCTTCCCCGGGACACACCGGGACACACCGGGACACAGCGGGCCAGCGGTGAGCCGGGACGGGCTGAGCGCGGCGGGGACGCGCGTGGGTGCCGTGGGTGCGGGGGCAGAACGTGCGGTGCCCACGCGGGGCCGGGACGGACCGGGTGTCCCGCAAACACCTCTGCCCGCCGGTTCCCCGCCCGCTGGGGAACGCCGGGGACGGGACGGGGGTCGGCGGGGACCGGGAGTATCCCCGTATCCCTCCATCCCTCCATCCCTGCATCCCTCCATCTCTCCCTCCCTCCCGCGGCCATGCGCGGCTCCCCGGCCGCCCACGCGGAGCCGGAACGGGACGAGGCCGCTGCCTGGTGTCGCAGGACAGCGCCGAGCGCCGGGGCCAGCCCGTCCGAGCCGGGGGTCCCACCCCCGTCCCGCCCCCCGCGCCCCCCGACCCCCGGCCCGGCCCCGCTCACCTCCCGCCCACCAGCGCCGCGCCGGCGGGCCCGACACACAGCGCCCCGCCCGCCGCGCGCCCCGCCCACCCGGCGCACAGTCTTGTGGTTGGCGTCGGGGCTCGCCGCGCGGCGCCGCGCGAGAGGGGGGAAAAAATCGCGGCGTCCAAGGGGGGAATTTGGGGGCGCTACCCCAGCTCGGGTGGGACGCGACCACCCCCGACCAGTCCCCGCTGGGACCGCGCCTGGGCACTGCGGATCGCAGCCTTTCCATGCCTGGGGGTTGCGTCAGGCGTGTCCCTATGGGTGGGGGTGTGGTGCGTTCGCTTGTGGTTCCCGTTCTGATGGAGATGTTCTCACTGCACCGTCGGACCAAAGCCTTGACCAAAGGCAGGGGGTTTGGCAGGAGTTTTGGTAACCTTCGAGGGCAGGTTGGATGGGGAACTGAGCAACCTGGTCTAGTGGAAGGTGTCCCTGCCCGTGGCAGGGCGTTGGAAGATGAACTTCAAGGTCCCTTCCAACCCAAGCCATCCTTAATTCTATGATTCATTCTAAAATAAAAAGTATCTCTTTTCCCCAGCTGCATTGGCTAATTTTACATATATATATTTTTTATTTATACACACACACACACATATATAGGTATATTTATCTACAGACCTTGCACTGCTTGGTGTCCTGAAATGACTGTGACCCCAGCACACCCCCTCCTCACCCCACATGTTCCTGTGTTTAGTTCTAAACAACAGAAATACCTTGTGACCCTCCTGGTGTGCGATTCAGTTGAGCCTGATACTGCTCTTAGACACATCAAGTTTTGGGGAGGCAGGTGGAGTGATGGGAGGCAGAAAGAAGAGAAGCAAAGGGGGAAAAAAAGTCTTTGCAAACGTGTATGGCAACAACAGGGAGTTGTGAAAGCAGACTTAGACTGTTAAACAGCTATAACTGCATCCCATAATATATGGCATTACATTACATGGCAAGACTGCACACCATTCCTGTTGTCTTTCTCACTCAAAGGTCTCCAATTATTTTACACAAGTAGAGACACTTCACCACCACTATTTTACGGGTGGGGAAAGGGAGTCACACTGGCAGGACTGAGCACAGAACTGGGGTACCTTGCTGCTCAGACTGGTAACCCAGAAATGAAATTATATATAAGACAAGCCTTGCACTGTATTTGTGATATATAGATATTTATTTTGAGCAATCTGGTGTAGTGGAAGCTGTGTGTGCCCAGGCCATGGGGGTGGAACAAGGTGATCCTTAAGGTCCCTTCCAACCCAAACCATTGTGTGGTTCTGTGATACAACTTTGAATCTTATTTACTATATAATTTCTTTATTCCATACCCTGCTCTGGAGGTTATTCCACCAGCCTGCTCTCCCAGAGACCCTGTAAGGGGTTGCAAAGGGATCAGAGTGACACAGTGCCAGCACCCAGGCTTGCCTGCAAGGATGTGGATCCGAATTTGGGAGGAGGGAGACTGCAGTGTGCCCTGCCTCACACTGCACAGTGCTTTGTGATTCCACCCATGTTGCTAATGCAGCTCCGGGCTGGGTGAGGCTCCAGTCCTGAAACCCAGCGCAGGGTACATCACAAACGGTGGAATTTAGCAAATTAGGCTCGCTGAGGGGGTAAATAACTCATCTGAAAGAGCCAGCTGGACAAACAACCCAGCTCTTCCCCACTCTGTGTGATGTGACCACACAGTACATTTAGCAAGGAGCTTAGGGGGAAGCGGTGCCACATCCCACAGCCCTGTGTTTAACCCGTTAGCACCCTGATGGCAAAGCTTGCTGAGCTCTCAGAAGTTAAGCTGGCTCTGTTTGGGTAGAGCAGCCTGTGAGCTGAGGTGCATGGGAGTCCCCTTCTGCAATCTGTGTTCTGTTCTGGCACAAAAAGGGGGTTTGCCACCTACTTTAGCAGGAATCCTAAAGTGCAGGTCTCCCTGCTGCATCTTTCTGGCACGTGGAATGAGATGAACAGCTGAGGACTTGGTCACTTGAGCCTGTTATTATCAGAGAGATTTCAAACTTGGGACTAGCAGCAGTTGTTTAACATCTTCTGTTGACACATCATGTTTACAGCTAGGTTATATGATGCCAAATTTCAAACATTGAGGCTGAAATTGTAAGGGAGGGGGGTTTCATTTTATGCAGTCATTTTTTGGAAGACTGGGAAAAAAAAATATAGTGCAGCTATTTCTGAGCTGAAGGTCAGGAGATAAAATAGGTTTTTTGACTGTGTTAAAAATACCTCAGCTGTTTCATTAAGGAGCTCTAACATCTCATAATTTGGGGCAACTAAGATTTTATCAGGATGATGGTTTGGATCAGAATGTGCTTTTGGCAGGACCTCTTCCAGACTTCCTCAGTTGCATGTGCCTTTAAGGGAAAAAGGTCCAGTGTGACAGATGAGACATGTGATGCCAATAAAGGAATAAAAGGTAGTTAACAAGGGAAAGGGGCGTTAAGGAGACAGATGTTCTACAAGCAAATAAAAGCTCTATAGGAAAAAGCTGTTGTGGGTGGTGTTTAAAGGTGGTGTTTCAGAAGAGGAAGCAGTAAGCTGAAAAGAAGCAGCTTATCCATGGAGAGACTCTATACCCTGGATAAAGGTTGTGTTTTGGCATAGGAGCTGGAAGCTGCTCCACAGAAAGTGGTTCTTTATCTAGGAGTGGGGAAAACAATGTAAAAGGTGAGCTTGGTGTAGCTGGACTTTGTTGCCCTTTGGTGTTGCAGTTGCAGGCTAGACCAAGGTGTGGAGAGGTGAAACTGGGGCAGGATGGGGTTTGTAGTGCTCTGAGGAGGTGAAGTGTGCTTCAGCAGGGCAAGCTTTTGATGAAGTAATCTTAGAGGAAAATTGCCTGATATCTGCCAAATTTATCAGCCTCTGCAAAGGCATCTGCTGCCAACGATGTGGCTGTAAGTGACTGAGGAATTTCTGTGGGTGCCTCATCATTCCTTGCTTCTTGTGTGTGGTTTCAGGAGCTGAGGGCCCTGTTTGGTCCTGCTGCTGCAGAGCTGGTGGAGCTCAGTCAGTGGCTGTGCTGGAGGGGGGGAAAAGCTTCCAGGAAAGCTCTCAAGTTCTAGGTTATCAAGGCCACGTGGCTTTGAACAAGGCTGTGCAGTTCTGCTGTGAAGCAAGAAAGAACAGCTGTGCAGCAGCTGGGGGTTCCTAGAAAATCCAATTACTGTCCTGTGGCTTCTCAAAAACCAGACTGTAAAAGTCTTAACAGCAGTTCTTAAACCAGGGTGGGGGAGAACAAGAAAGAACAAGAAAGAGGGGCTTTTTTTATGGTTATTGGGGCAAACCAATGACTTACCTGCTTGCTGAGTTCTGGAGCTGCAGTTGTGCTTGAAGTTGGTTCGTGCTTGAGGGTTCTCAGCCTTGAATGGGCCTGAACAGGGAGAAATCTCCACTCCAGTTTAAGAAGTTAGGATTTAAATATTCAGGCCTGCTTGGCATCAGACAATTCCACCTCTGTGCCTCCAGGCACACTGTTTAAAGGCTGGAAAACTGATCCCAAGAGAGCCCTGGGTAGTGATGTTCCCAAGACCCCACTGCTCTGGTGCTCTGCCCGGACAGCTTGGCTCTTAAAGAGCTTAGCATCAAAGTACAGCTGAGACACTCCAAGGTGAGAGAGTATTAGAGTAATACTGCCTCTTAAGAGCTTTTTTGTCTGTTGTTTGTTGTCTTTCTTTTCGGAACTGTAGCTTTCAAGCTGCAGAGATCGTGTCCAGGGAATGCCTCTCAGGTGTGCAAGTGGAGCGGGGAGGGAAAGCATCTTAACCCACCTGCCTTGCTGTGAAGCTCCAGTGCATGGTATTAGTGGCTGATTGCATTAACACTCTGCTGCTGTCCCAGTCATGGGACTAAAACAGGACTTAATTCCCGCGGTGAAATCCTGTCAGCAGGACCAGGTGAGCCCTTCCCTGCACTGCTGCAGTGGGGATGCAGCTCTGCCACCCAAACGAGCCAGAAAAGCAGGGACAAGGGGAAAGGAGCCTCGCGGGGGGGGGAAGAGGAGGAGAGCTAATCTTCACCAAGTGCTCTGCTTGAATGAAGCAGAGCTGATCAGAGCCATGCCTTTTGTTCTAAGGAAGTGATGCTCTCATCGGCTGCATCAGCAGATTAAAGATAAAGCGCTGGCATCTTCCCCAGGTATTCCTGCACTGGGACAAGCTGCCTTCTGTCTCCTTTTCAGTTTTGGGCTAGGTGAAGATGAAAACAGAGGTTATAGGCTAAATGTACGGTTTCTTCGTTGTACATTTGGGAAGTACTGTCTTCCTCTTGACAGGGGGGCAGAGGAAGCCAGGCAGCTTTGCTCAGCTTTAGGTAGCCAAAGATGAACTGCTTGCAGTGTGGTCCAGACTGATTCAGAGCTTCAGCAGCTTTGGGTCTGTATCACAGTCTGTTGATTCACCTCAGAAAGCAGTTCAGGGTGGGTAACTTGTGTTGCTGCCTGGCTGGCTCTGGCAGCTTTTGGCAGAAGTTACTTTTCTTGGTTATGATATAAAAGGTGGACAGAAGACAGGCACGTAGGGGGTACTGTCATCGTTGAGTTACTTGAAGTTCCCCCAAAATGTACTTGATTAGAGTTTAATAGTTACTGTATCTTAGATAAATATTGATTGATGAAGATTGACACACTGAACTTCTGAATTTAATGGGCTGGTAATCAGTTTCCTGACTAATTAATATTGGACATATTGCCCTAGATTAGTAAAACCCAACTAAATGAACCAAACAACAAAAAAAAATTAATTGTATATAAGTAGCACACTTGTGAGAAAAAACCTTCAA